GGGTCGTTGTCCTGCTGGAAGGTGAACCTCCGCCCCAGTCTCAAATCTCGATTGCCTATTAGGGGATCAAGAAGGAATTTTTTTTCCCTGCAGGAACAAATTGGATCATGCTTTGCTGAGGTTTTTTTTTAGCTTCCTCTGGATCAACTGTGGGTATAGGATTATAGCTTTTTTTTTTTTTTTTTAATGGTTGAACTGGATGGACCTTTGTCTTTTTTCAGCCAGACTAACTGTAACTAGAACAAAAAATCCAAATAAAATTAATTTATGTTTTTGGTTGTAACATGACAAAATGTGGAAAATTTCAAGGGGTGTGAATAGTTTTTCAAGGCACTGTAAATAGGAAGCATGCAGTAAATTCAATAATTTCACTGTAAGGAAAATAATCTGCTAATGGCATTGATTTTAAGGGCTACTTTGTCCAGGACTGGCAAAATTCAGCTGATCATTTGATGGCAAAAGCAGTCTCCAACAACCCAAAGATTTAATTGCTGGTTCTGCAAGTAACTCTTGCAACAGCTGGTGTCAACATGCATGCATCCACTATCAGAACGAGAATACACTAATTTAACCAGAATGGTAGTTGTACCAGGAAACTAAGATTTTTGTATATGCCATAAAATCTTTTTTTCTTGAAGTCCTTTGAGAGACAAAGTTATATAGTAAATTATATGTGTGATATGTTGCTGCATTCAGGAATTAGCCAATGACCCAGCAGAAAAAAAAAAAAAAAAAAAAAAAAAAAGGACATTGAAGTTCCACCTTACTTTTTGATGAAGTAGTACATAGGGCCAAGAGACAAAGGGATGGGATCAGTGTCACTCAAAGAAATCCAAGAAAAAGAGACTTTAAGGCAAGTACACATATCATTTTTTCTTTATAGCACAATTGAGGGACACAGTGATATATTTAATCACAGATATGTGACATGTCCAAATGCAATCCAACCGAAGGGTTGGCAACAATGGATGTGGTGTGGAAATCCTACTGGAAGACTATCTGAAAAAATAATTGGTTGAAAGGCTAGATTAAAAAAATTAGGAACAATATTGGAACTGCTACTATAAGAAAGACACCAAAAAGAATCTGGCGTTCCATACCAGGACAGGTAGCACTCCTAGGGAAAGACTTATCCGAAAAGATAAAGGACTTCAACAATCAAGTGGAGGACAACCCAGCAGCCATCATAGGAACAACTTAGAACAGCAAACGTGGTCAACAAAAATAATAAAATGTTGGTAAAGGCTGAATCCTAGGATACCTAACTGTTGACCTCAGGGAAGGAATGTCAGATAAAGAAAGAATGCCCCAACCAGAACCAGTGAACAGTTGGGGATTATAGAATATCCTTAACCCTGAATGTAGAGAAAGGGAGATACAAAATAAGAGCCCACCCTACAGTAATCTAATGGGAGAGAGGGGAGTAGACCTTCAATGTGATACAAAGAAAGGTGTAGTACTTTTTGGTGTAGACTCGGACAGACTTGACTACATTCAAACAATGGAGGATGCTTGAATGCAGGGCACAAGGAAAGTGGGAAAATCTCTTTATTAAGGTGGATGGTTGATACCACCTTAGGCAGAAAGGAGGGTTTTGGACACAAGACTACTTTGTCCCTGTAAAGCATTATGAAGGGCTCCTTACAATAGGGGGCTGCTAACTCAGAAAAATGCGTAAGGGACAAGATAGCCATCAAGAAGGCCACTTTGCAGGAGAGATCACTCATGATGAGTTCTCTAATGGTTTGAAAGGGCAGTTTCTGCAAAGATGAGGACCAGATTGAGATCCCAAGAAGCACAGGGTGCTGTAATGAGGGTCTGATATGCGAGATTCCTTGAATAATGCTTTTTACAATAAAGAGAAGCCAAAGACCTTTGGAATAGGATAGACAGGGTGAAAATCTGTCTTTTAAGAGTACCTAGAGCCAAGTTTTGGTCAAGTCCTCACTGGAGAAAAGCCAGAATACAAGGTACCAAGTAGCTTCTAAGGTTTAAATGCCTGTGTTTGCACCAGATGAAAAAGGATCTCCAGGCACAGTAGCAGAATTTTCTTCAACTGGCTTTTCTGGTCTTGAGTAATGTGGGAATGACAGAGTCAGATATAACCCCTGTTGTTCAAGGCCTGGGCTTCAACAGTCATGCCATTAAAGTCTGTGACTGAGCAGTATGGTACAGGGGGCCTCAAGACAGCAAGTCTGGCCTGTTTGGAAGAAGCCAGGGTTTGTCTTCTAGAAGATTGAGTATGTTGTGTGTACCAGGTTCTACTGGGACAGTTTTGTGAAAGGAAAAAAATCACAGTTTTTTCCTGTTACTCTGTCATGCAGGGCAGTCAAGGAAGAATTCGCACTGAAAGGAAGGCACATATTAACATGGTTGGAGTCCACTGGATTACCACAGCATGTAATAACAGTGCTACAGGATCCTTCGTACTGGCTAGAAACAGGAGTAGATTGTTGTTGCACCTAATGTCCATATCTGGGATCTCCCACTTCTGACATAAGGGGTAAACATGATAGTATTTGTTACACTCCAGAGTAGGGAGAACACTTAGAATGACAATAAATGTCCAGAAAGCAGGGTACCGAAGCATTTCAATTAGAATATAGGAAGTGTTTCACGATGGGGATGCAAGAAGAAATAGTGACATAATAGTAAGTGCTATAAGAGAGACCTAAATTCCCAATAAACACAAATATTCGGGTAATGTATATCAACTCTGTAGGTTGGGGTACAATAATCTTAGGAAAAAAAATCCAAAAATCAGATACCTGGATACAAGGTTCAGAGTAAAAGCTGCAGAAAAACGTGTGCATTTAAACTGGGACAGGGATATATTAAAGCTATTGTCAGAATAGGGTGAAGAGTATCTCCACTCACCTAAACTGAGACTTAAAGGATAAGTTCACCTTTCTAAAAAATAATAAATGCACATGTTTGCAGGTAAAAAAATGTGTATTTATTGTTATTTTTTATAGGAGCCTGTAAAGTATTGCATTCGTGATCAGCAGCAATGCAGGGCTCCTGCAGACTGTCAGTATATCTGTCTGCTTATACGGGCAGGCAGTTACACAATGACAGGAATACTTAATGAAGTACCAAGAATGCTCACTAGCGCCTGGTAGTTCATCAAGAACTACAAGCCGTCAGCTGCAAAGGCTGTTGGTACTTGTAGTTCATTCATTCAAAAACCGCTGACGCAGCTGTGTGGGCAGAGCCCCGCACTTTTCAAATTGTGACAGCGGGTGCGGAGACAAGATCACCTTCACACTGTCACAATTAACCACTTCCCATCCAGCCCATGTATATAAACTGCCAGATGGGGAGCAGTGCAGGAGCAGGTTGCAGCTCCCTGGGAGCGAGCGGCGGCACCGCAATCCGGTGCCCGCTGTCTCCGATCGCTGTACGGGACCTCTGTGTGAGGTTCCGATTCATGTGATCTCTAATTGCCCAATCAGTGATCACATGAATAGTAGTAAGCAAGATGTCACTTCCTGACATAATTGCTTACTACTTGCGAAATCTGTGAATGACCAATCACAGCTCTCACAGTATTTCTCAATGGCTGCAAGCATGCAGTCAAAAGAGGAGAAATTATTGCTTTTACAGCCTTTATGGGTGTAAAAGCAATCAGTGTAAAAAAAAAAAAAAAAAAATCATCATCCCCAAGTAGTACAGTGTCACTATGGTGACTGTACTGCTAGGAGGACAGTATGTTAAAAAAAATAAATAAAAATGTAAAAAAAAAAAATTTGAAAAATTATACATTTTTTAGCTATAAACTAATGTGTGTTTTTTTTTATACTAAAAAGATAACTGAATACATTTTGGCCAAGATTTATGAAGAAAGATTAGGTATTTGTAAAATTTTATAAGAAAAACACTTTAAATTTTTGGACTTTTTCATTTATATAGCAAAAAGAATAAAAATCCCAGTGGTGAACAAATACCATCAAAATAAAGATTTATCTGTCTCAAAAAAATGCTAAAGAATTCATATGGATACAGTGTTGCATGGCCGCGCAATTGTCATTCAAAGTGTGATAGCACTGAAAGCTGAAAATTGGCCTGGACAGGAAGGGGGTGAAAGTGTCCAGACAAATGGAGTGGTTAGGTCAGAGGGAGGCTACAGGAGCAGGAATATGTTACATGTTCCACCCTAAAAATTGGGTGGAACATGTAACATGTTTCCAAAGGTGAACTTATCCTTTAAACAAGAACCCTAACTGATCATCAGTAAAGTCCCTAAATGTAAAGACATTATTCACCAAGTTGAGATGATGTCCATTAAGGTGACGATCACACTTAAGATATCTGCATCAAAGGAAGACACCAGAGACTGTGTACACATTAGATGTTCTATCACTGTTCAAAAACGTGAGAGTACTCTGTACACTGTAATGCAGAGGCCTGTGCCTGAAGGTCACATTCCAATATACAGTATCTGTGTCCCATCCTTGGGCTTACTCAAAGATTGAGTGCTTAGAGACTGGTACACTGCTTTAGAGAAACTGACACGACCTGTAAAACACTCTGCAGTTGGACAGCAGTACACTAGGTTCTTTAGGAGCACGCAAAGCTGAGCCTGATGCCCAAGGTTCACATTACAGGCAGCCCCCCCCCACCCCCCACAATATTTGGTCTGGTGGGTCTTGTTTCTTGCCAAGACTATTATATAAATTAAAAATGTTATTTTTTTTTTTTTTCCCACACGTTTTTGTTTAGATTGTTTCCTCAACATGCAACGGATGTCAAAAACACAGGCCACCAAATTCACAATGTGTTTCATTGAATGCAGCATGTCCTATTGCGATAAATTTGCACTGAAGGAAAAGTGGGTCAAATGCAACCTTTTGCTGCATTTGGACTTAAAAATGCATGTGCTTAAACAGTGCTGCGTTTCAATGCAAAAAGCAGCATTTAACAGCAAAGCCCATCTACACAAGAAAAACAATGGTATGACTAAGCAGAGCTACCATTATTTATCACTACTTAGCTCCTACCAGCAGCTGCCAGATGGGCAGTTATCTCATCAGCTGCAGTGGAGTTGAGGATGTCCGAGTCATCGTAAGAGGTATCTTCTGGAGAGGATGGAGAATCTTCATCAGCACTCAAACATACTGTGCTCGGTGTATGTGGCAACATGGACTTGCTGTACTTGTTGGGCTACAGAGTGAGCCACAGTGTGAGCCACTGTATGCGCTTCAATGGTTGTCAGGTTATCCGTCTGTGTAACTGCATGATCTTCCATGGCTGCCAACTGTCAAAATAGATAATAAAAAAGATTCTAGAATAAAACATTACAATCAAGCAAAGTCCATTACACAAAAACATTACTGCAGTTGCTGTGGAAGTTACACTTTCTTACATTTTTATTTATATTTTTTACATAGGGATTAGAGTATTTGCAGAGCACAAGTACCGATAAATGGATGCTACCATTTGAGCCCTAAGCCTAGTACACACGATCACAAAATCGTACAATAATCTGATCGTTACTACACAGCTTTCATCCGAAAATATTAGAAGGGACAAACACAAACATTTTTCTTGCACAATGCCAAATCATAAGATTTTCATTTAACCACTTCCAGAAATACTGCTACAGGGCAGCACAGGTGCACAAAATCGCATATGTGATTTTGCAGTTCTGGATAGGGGGCACACGTCACCATTTGCGGCCTCAGCTGTCAATCAGCGGGTCCAGGCCGGTGATTCCCCGCCAGCACACTGCGATCTCCGAATATTTCCTACGGGGGAAAGACCTGTATGTAAACAATACAGATCTCTCCCGTCAGCTCCTGCACACTGCTTTATATGGCTCTGCATAGCAGAGCCAAACAAAAAAGTGTGCTTACAGTGTAAAGCACACACAGTGATCAGTGCTTTTTATTAGCACTGATCACTGTATTGGTGTCACTGGGGATGTCAGTGACACCAAGTCAGTTACCCCTAGTGTCAATGTCAGCCAGAGTCCCGCTGATCGCCGCCATTACTAGTGGGAAAGAAAAAAATTCCATATATATATATATACACACACACACACACCACCATTTGTGAATGCTATGACTTTCACGTAAACCAATTAATCTAAGTGTCTTGGGATTTTTTTTTTAGCAAAGATATGTAACAGAATACATTTTGGCCTAAATTTATGACAAAATTTGATTTTTGAAAAAAATTTTTACTGGCCATGTTTAATAGCAAAAAGTCAAAAATAGTTTTCTTTTCATAAATTGTCTTTTTTTTTTTTTTGTTTATAGCGCAAAAAAAAAACACAAAAAAAAAAATAATGCACAGGCGATCACATACCACCTAAAGAAAGCTCCATTTGTGGGAAAAAAAAACATAAATTTCATATGGGTGTAGAGTTGCATGACCGCGCAATTGTCAGTTAAACTAATGCAGCGCCATATCGCAAAAAATGGCCTGGTTATGAACAGGGGTAAATCTTCTGGAGGGCAAGTGGTTAATTAGTACAGTTTTCATCCAAAAATACAATACATCACTTTTGATATTTTTTTCTGTAGTACAAGAAGTTTTGTAACTTTAGTAACCTCTTCACTTTCTATGACACTAGCATGCAAAAAATAAATAAATAAATAAAAATCGAACGATCATTCGTCCAATATTCTCATTGTGTACAGAGCTTCATGCAAAAATTTGCCTTATTTCATATTGTACAAATATACCCATCCTTAGCGCTCATTCAAACAGGCACAAAAACTTCTGTATTTAGATGTGTACATCAGATAGTTTTGTACGCATCTAAATGCAGCACACAGGACTCATTCACACGGAAGTAAAAACGCTGCATTTAGATGCATACAGCAGACAGTTTCTTATGCCTCTCAGAGCAGCACTATAGTAATCAATGAGCCCATACATACAGCTGCATTTACAGTCCAGTATAAGCTGCACTGTGTCCGTTTACACCCACCTACCTCAGGACAGCAAAAAATTAATAAAGAAAAAACTGAAGGGGATCCATCCTTCTCGGTCTAGGCAGATTGGATCGGAGGGTAGTTGGGTCTAAAAGGACAGGTGGATTCCATTTACTATCAGTCACCCATAGAGCAGAGCTGTCCATGTCTGCTTTGCAGAAACTGAGGACACAGATCGCTCATCCTGCTGATCAAAACAGAGTCCTCCCCATATAAAAGGGGCCTAAATGAAGTCTCTCCAATAAACTTTAATGAGTGTGATAAACTTGTTTCTGAATATAAAAAAAATTGCATGGATCTGCTGCTAATTATGTCATAATATTATTATTATACAGGATTTATATAGCGCCAACAGTTTGCTCAGCGCTTTACAATATAACAGGAGACAATACAGCAACAATACAGTTCAATACAAGAGGGATAGGAGGGCCCTGCTCCTAGGAGCTTACAATCTAAGAGGGAGGGGATAGTGGTACAAAAGGTAGTAACTGTGGGGGATGGACTGGTAGGAGTAGAAGATTCCATTATTAGCTGAGGGCAGGATAGGCTTCCCTGAAGAGATAGGTTTTCAGAGATCACCTAAAAGTGAGCAGAGTAGGTGATAGTCTGATAAGTTGGGGTAGAGAATTCCAGAGGATGGGGGAAGCGCTGGAGACGTGCATGGGAGGAGGAGGCAAGGGAGCTAGAGAGCAGGAGGTCATAGACATAGTTATAGACTTCTCAGTGAACTTGCAAAGCTGCAAATGTATATTGGAAAGCAAGTCCATAGAAGATTCTGATAAGTAGCAATTCTTTCCATCGTCAGTGCAGATTTACTGGAAACTGACCATACAATACTCAAAAATCGGCCAGATTAGCATGAACCAGCATGTGGCCGTCCCCGTGGGTGCTGCTGTCAGAATACAATGTCCCAGAGCAGGGGGGAATCCTCCTTCTACCTTGTTTGGGTGCCAGCTTTATTTGCAAGCACAGTTGTAATACAGAGATCTGTTGCTAGTGCCATCATTGTACGGTTCTCACTGAGTTTACAAGATTTCAATGTGTGTTTTGACAAATATTCATAAAGAGGTCTGCTGACTTTTAGGAGCATTTTTCACATATCAATGTTCACACCCAGACTCAACCACACTTTCAACTATTGATGCAGGCGGTTTGCAAGAATAATAGTGCACAAATCTGTTGCAGTAGTAAACAGTTCTCACGGAGTTTCTTATAGATGATACAAACCTATTTCCAGGTGTAGGTGTCATGCACAAACCCTCTGCTAATGATGCCATATTCTCATTAGGGTTGCAAACTGTACAATGTGTGTACATGTGCACAGATCCATAAAGAAATCTGCTGGTTAAAAGAAGTACTTGTTTTGCTTAATATGAGCCCAGTACTGTGCTGCAGTGATCCTCCTGTAGTAATAAACTTAACATAAGATGGAAAAAAACTAAATTCCACACGAGAATGACGTATAAAGGTCCAATGTTAGTGGCAGTGGCACATCAGTATTTAAAGATTAGCATGGAAGTTCTCATATACACATGCAAAAAATGTACAAAAAATAAAAATCTGAATCGCTTATACTTATCCAAACAGGGCCTCAAGTTGTCAGCAGATGCAGTCAGACAGAGGCAACAGGCATAGATTTGCTGAATGATGGCGGACTAAACAGATCACATGTGTTTGAATATGTTGATGCTATGAATCAAGTCAAGTGTTATGCCAGATATTTTACATGCTTCATCTGTAGAAATCCTAACGTTGATATTAAATGCACACAGGCTCATCAATATTTTTTTGTAGTAGCCCATTGGCCAGGGTTTTTAACTGGGTTTGTTATTGTGGCTTTTAAATGTGTATAAATATTTGGGTATTTGTATTAAGAAATATGCTTAGCTATGAAGGCAGTTTCTGGATTTAGCCTCCACTATATTTTTTTGCTGCTTTTAACTATTTCTTGTTCATGTGACAGCTCTCGCTCTGTTAACTACAAAACGCCCCCACCACCTTCGATTATGGAGAAGTGCATGGAAGGGGAGGTATTCTTTATCCTAACACACTTGCCAGGGTGACACTACTTCCCCTCCATAGATCTTGTACAGTGAGTGAGTTGTCACCCTAGGACATGAAGTGTGTAACTGACAGCATCACTAGGTGAAAAGCATTAAAAAGAAACAAACAGAACTACCACACCAAATGACAGGTAATCTTCAATATATTTTTGTTCATGGATCTAGTCTGGATTCACCTTAAAGTGCATCCTAACACAAGAATGAAAATGTAAAAGATTGCAGATTACTAGACTAGATGTTGTGGATGCATCCTTTTTCCCCCAGGCTTTTTTCCTTTATTTCCATCCGGTGGTCCTGCCATTAACACTACTTCACTAACATGACAACTCTCACACTGTGCCTTATGGAGGGGCAGTGTTTCCTCTATAAAACGCATCCTGCAGGCTCTTCTCCATAACAGATTGAAGATGTTCCTTAGTCTAAAGAGAGAGCCGGGGATAAAGCAAACTGAAAATCAGTCAGCACAGGCAGATAGCAAAGGAAGGGATTATCTCACGAGATTTCTGGCAGGATCAACAGGTAATGTTTGCACTACTTGAACAGAACACTTTTATTGCTATATTTAACATACCAAAAGACAGCAAATACAATAAGTCCATAGAGTTTATATACACTTTACCCAGTTACCCTCTACAGCATTTTTTTCCCAAACATGTTTGTTTGTCAGACTGGGGTGGAACTGGGACATGACTGGAAGGTCTTGGGATGTTGCTGTGGGTATGTGCTGATAACACTTGCAGAACGTGGAGCAGAATTCAAGATTTTTATTCAAACAATGGATTAGTAAAGCCAGCTTATTTATTACAGGTACTTATATAGCGCCGTCAATTTACACAGCACTTTACATATATATTGTACATTCACATCAGTCCCTAACCCTCAAGGGGCGTACAATCTAATGTCCTAACTCACATTCATACATACACATACTAGGGCCAATTTAGACAGGAGTCAATTCACCTACCAGCATATCTTTGGAGTGTGGGAGGAAACCGGAGTACCCAGAGGAAACCCACGCAGGCACAGGGAGAACATGCAAACTCCAGGCAGGAGGTGCAGTGGCTGTGATTCGAACCAGTGACCCTAGTACTGCCAGGCGGAGGTGATAACCATTTAGACACTGTGCTGCCCACATATGTATAGTTATATTAGTCTAAGCTGGCACAATGTATCCAGGTATAAAGTATCTATACGTGGAAATTGTCTTTAATGTTCCTGCACATAGGTAGTCAAAGCGATGCTTG